GTGTGCGCGACAAACAATGTGTTGGACAAACTTCAAAGTCAGAAAAACGTGTTAACGAGACACAACGCGCGCGCACACACAAAGGAAAGCATCGCGTGAGGTCACAAGATACAGGAGTTTACGCCGCCTTGACCCAAAGAGACTCAGTGAAAAACTCACATCTTAAGTTGAACATTGATGTCCATATCACAGCTGTAAACATAGTTGAATTTATCAGTGTCCATCTTCCGACGGGGAAACTCTGAATTCCAACCAGAGACCGGATGACTTCAACATGAAATCCCGGACAGTTATAGGAGACTTTGCGAGCGGTTGTGTTTGCGACCAGGCCTCGGATCAGCACCCCGCAGAGCTCAGCTAAAGGTCCCGCCACACGGCTGGAGACGCTGTAGGTCCGGACACGAGTTTAAAAGGATGTTAACTGCCTACATTCACGATAAAGACATAATTCTAACGGCTGTCTCGCCGGGCATGATTTGGTGTTTTTGTTAGCTACCTACACAACACAGCAGCAACCGAAACCTACAGTCAGGCGAGAGCAGTCGAATTGCGATATAGTGACTGAGACGACTGAACGTGGGATTGTCATATCGTGGGGTTGATTAACCGAGTCTGATGCGGAAAAGAAGGAAGTAAAAAAAGAGGCGGAACGTTTATATTAAAGGAGCAGTGCACACGAACTACATCAATAGAACTACACAAATACACTGGGGAAAATATTCACTCACTCATCCAATTCACTGAATACAGGTGTTCTAACCACTTCTATGGCCACAGGTGTATAAAATCAAGCTACTAGGCATGCAGACTGCTTTTACAGAAATTTGTGAAAGAATGGGTCGCTCAAAGGGATGCTGAATTCCAGCATGGTACAGGATGCCACCTATACAACAAGTACAATCGGGATATTGCCTGACTGTTAAATATTCCACAGTCAACTGTTAGTGGAAATATAACAAAGTGAAAACGATTGGGAAAAACAGCAACTCAGGCACGAACTGGTAGGCCACGTAAAATCACAGAGCATGGTCAGTGGACACATGGTGCACAGAGGTTTCCAACTTTCTGCAGAGTCAGTCTTACAGACCTCCAAACTTCATGTGGCCTTCAGATTAGCTCAGGAACAACCATAGAGAGCTTCATGGAATGTCCGAGCAGCTACATCAAAGCCTTACATCGCCAAGCGCAATGCAAAATGGTGTAAAGCACGCCACCACTGGACTCTAGAGCAGTGGAAATGTGCTCTCTGGAGTAACTAATCACGCTTTGCCGGATGGCAATCTGATAGACGAGTCTGGGTTTGGCCGTTGAAATTTTGGACAATTTCACGCTCCCAACTTTGTGTGAATAGTTTGGGGATGTCCCCTTCCTGTTCCAATATGACTGCACACCAGTGCACAAAGCAAGGTCCATAAAGACATGGATGAGCGAGTTTGGTGTGGATGAACTTGACTGGCCTGCACAGAGTCCTTACCTCAAGCCAGCAGAAAACCTTTGGGATGAATTAGAGCAGAGACTGTGAGCCAGGCCTTCTTGTCCAACATCAATGTCTGACCTCACAAATGTGCTTCTGGAAGAATGATCAAAAATTCCAATAAACACTCCCAAACCTTGTGGAAAGCCTTCCCAGAAGACTTGAAGGTGATATAGCTACAAAGATTTGACTGACACTATATTAAACCCAGTGGATTACAAAATGGATGCCACTCAAGTTCATATGCGTTTGAAGGTAGACACGCAAACGCTTTTGGCAAAATATATACAGAAATGTTGCATATGGCACAGAAAGAAAGGCAACACAGCAGAAATATAATTCCAAAGTATTTAAAATAAAAGCAGAACTTTAAAGAAAAACAAAATACAGTTTTAAAAAAATCAACAGTGAAGCTGCAAATCAATTTAAACGTAACATACAAGATGAGCTGGTTTTAAAGCTTTTTTTTAACAAGTCTCACTAAGGGGTCAAATGCACTCTAACTAAAGAGCACACCACCAAATATAAAAATGCTGCACACAAAACATATCATAAGCAGAAGTGGAAGTGTTCAGGAAACCACAATAACTGAGCCATGAAGTGTTTGACCACTACAGAGCAGGTGACTGAGTGCTGAGGTGCATAGTGGGTAAAAGTTTTGCTGACTTTATAACTGCAGAGCTCCAAAACTCCTTCCTCTTCTGTGCCTGAGCAGCTCCTGTAGGTGTAAAGTGCAGGTGACCCAGCACCTTTATGTTTACCTGATTGATTACAGTTTTCATCTGAAAACCGTTGAGGAAGGGCTACGACTTTATTCCCATCTATTGTGGCCATTTTTGTCTACTACTACTTTTGTCTATTTCTAATCTGATATTCACTAAAATTTTTAAGTATTTAGTGTAAATTTTAGTTTAAAAATGAGAAAAAAGAGACTGATGCACCTTTGATTTTTTTTTTTAGCTTTTTTCCATTTAATCAATACAAACAATCCACTTGTGAAACACTGACGATGCTAAAGACAAGGATTTCATGCTCTGTGAACTTTTCCCAACCCAATTAAAAAACACTTGTACCCAATTAAGTGCATATCCATGAAGGACGAGAGGTGTGTGACAGGAAAATCTTTTGTTTTCAGAGGTCCTCCCTTTCCATCAGCACTGACGACAACATATTTGTCAGATCAGGCTGTGAACTCTTTGCCAGCATATGGGACCCCACAGGCTCCGAGGAGGTCTCCGCCACCCAGGCTGAACTATGGAAAAACATCTGCATCTAAATACTGACCTCAATCAGGCCTTTACGTAGCCTGACTGACACCTTAGTCTTCTGCGCTGCCCGACAGAGGCAACTGTGAGTTGGACTGAGTGAAAGAAGAAGCACCCTTGGTCGATCAGGGAGACCTATCAACACTCTTGAACTATAGAGAGAAGGCATGTAAAGCGCCATGTTACAGGGCCCCGGGGGCTCCTGTGAGAGGCATGAGAGGATTTTTCCTATGACCTCGAGCTCAGCCTGCAGATAGTAAACAAGTGGAAGAAGATGAGATAAGGTTTTGTTGGCGTGTGGATTGATACCACACTGCAACATATGCTCAGATGACATATTTAACTTTTGACTTAACGCCATTTTCCTTGGATGAACAATCCATGAAAAATTGCAAAAGAACCGGGCAACAAAGAAATACACCTGTCTGCATTACAGACGTTATGAATATGAAGACACATGTTTCCAGTGACCAACTGTGATAAGAGGAGCAGTTCAAACTTTATCTTTGATTGTTGTTTAAATGATTTGACATGGACCTTTTGGGATTTTTTTTTCAGTCAAATCTTTTTCTTAAATGTTAGCTTAGTTACAGTGGGGAAATAATTATTTGATCCCCTGCTGAACAGTTTCATATTTTTATGGTAGGCTCATTTTACTGGAGAGAGATGGAATATCAACAAAAATTCCAGAAGAGACACACTCCCTAAAAGTTATAAACTGATTTACATGTCATGTATATAAAAGAATTTGAAACAAACTTGATGTTAGCGTCGGCTTGGTCAGTGGTAAATTGAGGTTTGTGCAAAAGAGCAGGAGGCTGAAATAATAAAATCCGTCATCATCATTACCCGTTTCCCCTTGGGGGTTCTTAATCAAGATGACTGAGCTCTGTTCCCTATGTTGCTCCACATCCTGCTAAGGAAGCAATCAGGAAAAAGTGAGAACAGCCAACATCTACATTAACACACACTCTTTTAATAAACTCTGCAACACAGAATTTAGGTTTAAATGACAAATAATTAGAAATTGTAAGCAGCTGTAACTAAGGTTTTCATTATGATACAGTTAGGATGGCCAGTCTCCCACTGTCCCTCCACTTTCCACAAACTGTTACTTAATTAATTCTCCCAAAAATCAACTAAACCCAATAAAAAATCCCTCCAAAAGAAATGTGTACGTCTTTCTCATTTAGCTTTCAGTATCCATCATTTATTGATACTGAAGCTGGAATTGTGCCTTAGGCTCATTAAACTCCTGGTCTCTCGGAGACACTCCCCAAACATACTTCCATCATATAGCAGGAAATATGTTATCATCCAAAGTCCCATGTAAGTGTTTACATCAGATTAAAAGAAATCTAAATCTACAAAAGCCCTTGATCTACATTCACATATGTTGTTCCCACATCTGACAATTCATTCCTTCCCTTTTAATTTGATTACATTTAGACTCCTTTCAGTATTGAATTTCATTTGTATGGTAGCAGTTCACAAAACAGTCACCTGAAAGCACTTTTTAGATTGTAGTGTAAACACCTCACCACATGAGAGAGAAAACCCCAAGAATCAAAGAATTCCCGAAAAGCAAGCAGTTTGGTGAAAGTGGGAAGGAAAAACTTCCTTATAACAGGAAGAACCATTCAAAAGCAGAACAACCATGGAGAGAGAAGACCGCATTGAACGACACACAGTTGTGGCATATGGACACTATGGACATATGTAGCTGCCAGAGCTGAAAGCACCTCGCAGAATCATGATTATATATTTAAAATTTATATTCGGCACATTTTCTGGGGCTGTGCGGTGATCCTCACAAAAACCAAGAGGGAGGCTGAATGATGATGAATCATGTTTTACATTTCCATCGCCCTCTCTCTCCACCTCCTTCTCTCCTTGGACGTAACCGCTCTTTCTCTCTCTCTGCCCTCCATCTCACCTCTCTGCTACCCTTCCCTCTCTTAGTCACCGCGTGGATGTGTCATTGTTTCTAACACTTCGGAGGTTCATGCCTGCTGAAGCGCATCGAGGAGATCTCCAGAGTGCCAAAAGCGTGCCAAGATACAACTTTACCCTCCCCTCTACACAACACCTCCACCTCCTCATTCCCAACGGATGGCACCGCTGACACTCTCCACAGCCAAGTCTGTGGGCCACATGACGGTGCAAGCCACACCTCCACGCCATGGTCATGAACCCTCAAAGCATATAAATGAGGGAAGAAAAGGAGAAGAGGAATCACAAGCTGACCAGACGTGATAAAGATGGAGCTCTTCAGGGTTCACTTGTTGCTTGGAGCCGTAGGGTTTCTTCTGTGGACCAGCGGTGGCTCTGCTGCACCCATGGAGTGCCACTTCAGCTCCAGAGGTGAGATCCAATTCTTTATAACCCTTTTTAAAATAAACCCAAACATTTACCTTTAAAAAAACCCCATCAGTTTATAAAAAAATGTATTATTTTGAGCTCTTCCCCCCACCATGTGTTCGTCCAGCTCTGTGTGTGTACGAGGGGAGGCACTACTCACTGGGTGAAACCTGGATGGACAACGCTTGCATGCAATGCACCTGTCTGCACCCTGTTGGGGTCGGTTGCTGTGAGACGTGAGTACACAAACAGACGGTGTGATTTGGTGTCCAGATGCCAACATTTTCTAAACCGCATGGTTTAAAGAGACTGAGTGACTTTGTTTTCATGGTGGAACAGCAGTTTCACCAGATGTTTTGCTTAAGAATAAAGAAAGTGGCCACAAATGTTGTTAGTCTGCAGGAATCTTGTCTGTGTGGGTTTTTTTTACTGATATTATTCTAGTGTTACTATTGTAAATCACAGGTGGCTGCGCCTTACTTTGCAGATACTTTTAAATATTTTAGGTAATGCTTTAGAAGCCAAATATGGTCATATTTAATGTTTCTAATTACATTTTATCACAACTTTTATAAGCTTCTGTTTTTTTTTTCAATAAAACAAATTACATGTTTTCATTTGGGCACATAAAAATATTCAGATTTGACAAAGTGTTTCGAGTTTTCTGTGGGTACCCAAAAAAATATCCCAGGGCTGTAGCAAGAATGTCACTAACCTGTGCAATCTCTGACTCAAACACACATAGATATGTACATATCTATGTTTTTAGATTCTATTTTTACTCTATACTTTATTTGTTAGAAACTCTTTATTTTTGTATTTTATGAGTACTTAGATTGCTTTCTTTGTACTGAATGGGACCGCATATAATATCGTTGTGCTTTTGGCAAAAATAACAATAAAAATGAGATTCTGATTCTGAAAAAGTTTACATTTTAAACCTTGAAGTGAGAAGTGCAAAGAAGGTTTGACACGCTTTACCTTCCTCTTAATTACTGCCCAGAGTGCATCGGCCGGTGGATTTCCCCGCATGGTGTGAAGTGCAGGTGGAGCAAGTGACCTGCAAAGTGTCTCTAGTCCAGTCAGCTGACCCCCGCCTGCCCTGCTCCCCGGGTCAAGCGAACAAGGACCCGAGCCATGGATCGCTTCAGCTGCAGCAGCATCTCGAAGGCTGGAACGCAACTAGCACTGAGTAACTCTGCCGCCACTCTGCCTGCCCATGGAGCCGATACTCATTACAGTTAGATATCCATAACCATTACTCATCTTCAGTATATGAATTATTCATGTAGGGAATATGATGCTTAGCAATTTTTAAGCAAATGTGCAGCAATTTACACAAAATAATTTGAAGTCTTAACAGATGTAGAAAATATAGGTCCCTGCCTGCTTTAGAAGCATTTTAATTTCTGTTTACGCTTATATCAGTTAGCAACTTGTCTAATCCCAGCTGAGCTTCTTATGAAACTCCTTTTAAGTTTACAGGATTTTAAAATGCTAAATAACATCAAACCGTTAAGTGTTTCTTTGTTCAAAGATCCTGATATTAATCCAACTGCTATCTTTAATTAACCCACTGATGACATTCTGTAAATATATAAATGTACTTTAATATAAATGTCTGTTCAGTTTGACCTGTTTGCTGCTGTAACTCATTTAACCTCCAAATAAAAGTGTTGTTTACATGAAGAAATGACAGAGATTTAAGTCACGCTTTTAATTTTCTCTTACATCTTGATTGAGCGTTTTGCTCCAGATGAAAGAAAAAGCTCTGATTAACCATCGGAGGAGAGTCTTTGTTCTTGAAATGTGCATCTACATCTCTCTCTCTCTCACACACACACACACACACACACACACACACACACACACACACACACACACACACACACACACACACACACACACACACGTTAAATGGTAATGGTGTTGGTCCCTGTAAACTGGGACACGTAGGAAGCCAAAGCCGGGTTGGTGGGCAGGACTTTGATCGGTAGATTCCAGCTGAAGGTGTCCACATCCACATGCTCCGCCCCAGCCCACACTGTGACCTCTGATTGGTTCTGCAGGACAGTGGGCGGTTCCATAGGCTCCCGGGCAGTAACGAATTCAAAGTGCAGGCGCCACCTCAGGGTCACTAAATAAACAAAAGAGCCGGAGTAAGTAATTTTCTTTTCATATACATTCTATGAAAAGTACCTAGGTTTATGTGTAGATGTTCCCGGTCGTGTCCTTTTTTACTCTTTTGCCGGCACGTTCCTACATTTCTTAGTGTGCAGCCACAAGGAAAAATAAGGAATGCTCGTCACCCACATGCTTGTAAAACTTTCCATATTAATAGGTGTGAATCATTTTTATTAAAATTTAGTCACTGCCTTAAGGCACTGTAAACCCACACTGGTTTTTGTGTCCTTCTCTTCTGTGGTTAGCACATTGAGTTTACGTGTAATTGATATTGTCATTATCCAGGTTCAGACTACACAGCATCAGCCCGATTATGACTCAGCCCAGCTTACACAGGGTGTTGTTTTGGTTCAGAAACAAAATGTGCATCGTGCATAACAACTGATCATTTTATCCTGCACTCCATCAAATAATGGATGAAAACTCACACTTCATCTGGGAAGCCTGGCCGGTACTTTAATAAAAACGTTAAAATACTGCCTTGGAACATCTGCTACAAATTATGAGTGAGAAGTAAGTAAGAAGCATTGGGTGAAGTTTAGCCCCTTTATCTTAAAAACATTAAATTTTACAAGTATTAGAATTTATTAGAATCTTTGGCTGTCATACATAAATATGAATATTTTGAAAACTACATACGAAAATGATGGAGAACATCTATTTGATATGGCTAACACAAACTCACGCTTTCTGAAAGAGGTTAATATGGGTTTAGGATGTGGTGTCATACCAGGGGAATATCGTATTCGATTTAGATGAAACTTTCTTATTCAAACTTTAATATTTATGAAATCCTTGGCCTGCATTTGTATAGCGCTTTTCTAGTCCCTAAGGACCCCAAAGCGCTTCACACTACATTCAGTCATTCACCCATTCACACACACATTCACACACTGGCGATGGCAAGCTACATTGTAGTCACAGCTGCAATGTATTTATGAAATCCTTTACTTATTTTGAACCATATTTTGTGCCTTGCATATGAGAAGCTACAATATCTAAGTCCTCTACCTGCAAAACTATGTTTCTACAGGCCTGTGCTGCAGAATCTGCTGTCAGCAATAGGACATTCATTCTATCTGAACTTCATCCACACTACTGAGAGTCTATATGGAGCCATAGTACAGACACTCAGAAAAGTTTGAAGGACTTTTCAAGATTATGTCATTTTTAGATGCCTTCTGAAAATGTATGCAAGGAAAACATCTAAAAACATCCTGACATTCATCGCTTGAAATTTTTTTCAGAAAACTAATGATAGTAGGAACCTGGAATTGTGCTTAGCTTATATAGGCAATTGATGAACTATGCCTACTTAGTTTGTATGACACTGATCTACAAGTAATTGTTGAGATATGATTGAGCCGTGAGTCAGACATAATTCAGCTTGAGTGACTTACCAATGTCTCTGCTGAAACCCGGCGTGACATTCAGGGGTATGGGAAGAGAGAAGTGGCTGAAGGCCGTGTGGAGGCAAGACTCCAGATGTCGCCCGTGTCCAGTCACACTGGGAGTTTGTCCTGGTCTACGCTGGTACTGCTGCTGGATCTCCTCCTCACTCTGAAGGCTCACTGAATACTGAAACACAAACACACACACACACACACACACACAGCTTTAGAGAAAATTCAAAGGGTGACTGAATTGGAAAGTGCATCGTATGAAAATTGTAGAGCAAACACACCTGCAGGCAGGGAATGTCTCCCTCTGAAAAGTTAAACGTGCCGATGATGTCCTCCCCGAGTCTGTAAACAGTCTTAAAGATGCAGAACTTTGCTACTTTCCCACGCATGTTGGTGATATTAAACATATCTGGAAAAAACAAAGACACACACATCAGATGTGGAGACACAAAAAGAATCTGCTGCTTTTATTTTTGCCTTTCAGGTACCGAATGAAGCCACCATTTTATAGATGTACACGCTTATGTGAATGTAACAACTAAAATAGTGAGAAAACAGTTTAATTTGTCAAAATATTCCCAAAGAAAAAAGGGGGTGACGCTTACGTTAAAAACAATTTGCACAAACTAGAGTTTAAACTCCTGCAAAGAGCAGAAGGGCAGAGAATTCGACTCACGGGGGTAGCGCCTCGAGGTGGTGACCATTAACATGTCCAGTGCTCTCTCCAAAGGCCGAGAGTCCCTGCGGCTCACTTCCTCTTCCTCCAGGAAAGGGTTGGAGGGGCAAACCTCTTCATCCTGGGGAAATGGAGGCTCTGGCATGCCTATGTGGGTACATGCAAAAAACACCAACATCAGATAAAAGATTCTCATTTTTTAAAGTCAATTTTCTTGGCAACATTTTAAGTACTTTCTATAAAGCAAAGAGCTCTGGTAACTGTGACATAATGAGACTCTTTTTGCTGTCCAGAGAAAAATGAAAATCTACATGCCTGGTTAAGAGACCACAACAAAAGTTTATATCCACAGTATTTTTTTTGCCAATACTTCTCTGGTTTTGCTGTCGTTCTAATATTATACTACAGCCGAAGCAAAGATCTTTCAACCCCTGTTTCTCTGTGGCTACAACTGTAAAATGAAAGCCAGAGTCGGTCAAAAGTCCATTCACCTTGCAGAACCAACACTCTAAAGGGAACACGAAGTAGCTTGATGGGCGAGTTGACCCTTTGACAGCCAATGGTCAGTTTGTAGACGTACTTCACCGCCTGACCACGGAAACTGGGAGGCCCATCAATGGGAACAACCTCACTGTAGGAGTCTGTGAAAGAATGACAATGTTTGCAAGACTGAGTCTCACACACACAAATGAGATAATGCTATGTATGGGAAACCATCTAGAAACCTCATCATTATTGTGTTAAGTGTTTCATTCTTTAACAGCAGTGTAGATATTTCACTTCACATTATTGTTAACTTTTTCCCACAAATGTAAAGACATGTACATGTTTTACTCTCTCCAGGGTCCAGGCGCAGGTCGCAGAATAATATCTTAGGAGGAGTGTCCAGCACACACTGCCCTCGTTCTCCTGGAGAACAAAGCAGGAGATGTTAAATGTATTACACACTAAGAAAGCTATGGAAAAAAGGCTACTAATATGTTGCTACTTTTCATTGTGTGTGAAGACTTGTTAGCAGACACAGCAGCAAATTTATCCAGTATTGGGGATGTTCTTTTTTAAATTCACCTTGTGAACCTTGCATGGCTGTAAGGCAGTTGGATGTATGACCCATACATCCACTGAAGTGGTGTCAATATGCAAATGTACTGTTTATAAGATTGGGGAAACCCAGATAAGTTTATACTATTTCTGCCAGTCTTAGATTTCATATTTTATTTCTTACCTCTGCTTGGGATGAGCACAGTCTCGCTCTCAGCCTGGACATCCTGTTTGTTGCCCTGAGCCGGCAAGGCTACTCTGTTCTCACTTGCATGAAACTGACAGTGGATCTGGGCACTGGCCCATGCCAGCATCTCACTGGAACAAAAATCAGAATCAGACAACAAGGCTTACACAAGGGTACAATTATTTCAGTGTCCTCTGTGTTACAGTCTACCAACAACACTAGGTCACGAGACACCATATAAATCCTAATAACTGTGTTAAAAGAAGTGAAATAAAAAACAAAAAAACTCCTTCCTGTTTTAGCTGCTCCGTTTACAGGTTACCACAGTGGATCACCCGCCGCCACCTCACCCCATCTCCAGCATCCTCTGTTAACTCAACCCTCCTCCTTCACTACATGAATCTCCTCTAAGGTCTTCCTCTTTTCCACCTGCCTGGGTGGATAGTTGATCCCAGGAATTTAAGCTCCTTCACTCACCTGTCTCCTTAAATGTTCACTTTTCCATCTGTCTCCCTCTCATTCACACACATGCATTTTGTCTTGCTTCTACTGACTTTCATTCTTCTTCCCTCCAGTGCATACCACCACCTCAGTACTCAGGGACTCTTGCCTGACCAACACCACTGCAAACAAGAAGGGGCACAGAGAAGATCCCTGTTGTAATCTTACCCCTACCTTGAATCCATCTGTCTCTCCTACTGCACACCTCACCACTGTTTTGCTGTCCTCATATATTTCACCACCATCGCACGCTTTTTCTAGATCCTTCCAGAAGACGTGTAAATCCTTCTAACCTTCTCTATACTTCCCAAGGAAATAAAGAAATCATTTAGATTACAAAATATTCTAACAGCAGGATATCAGAAACGTGTTATTATTAAGAATCCTTTTCTGTAAATCTTGCCAAAACAAAACCTACTTTAATTAAAAGCCCGCATATTAACATACGACAGTCAAAACAAAGAATAACACATGGCTGATATTCCCTTATTTTTAATCTCATTGAACAAGGAGCAAACTTGTAAAATCCTACCTGCTCGCCGAGGTGGAAAGATGAGACATCGGGTTGGTGAAAGTTACAAGACACTCCATGAGCTCCCCGGCCAGAAACACTGAGCCTCGGGCCATAGAGGCCACAACCTCGATCATCTATAACGTTACGAACCGACAACGCTACTTTAGAAAATGAAAAACGTAAACGATAATATCGTGAGCACATTGCAGTTCTATCTGATGTACTTTTTTTGTCGTTACAGTTTGACCTACATACAGCCAGTATGAATTTCACTTGTTGGCCCTCTTTGCTAATGACTGTAGTTTTAAGGACAAGTTTATCACATACCTTCACTTCACGCGATACTGCGGCAAAGCAAATACGCAATGTTCTCCCCGAAGAAACCTAAATACACTTCTTGAATAAAAGTATACCAAATTTCTCAATTCATGCCAATCCGAGCATAGCTTACTTAGCTAGCATTCCAGCTGGCTACAGTAAACAAAAAAAAAAATACGTAGACATTCTGTTTCCGGTGCTGTTTTACCAATCACGAACAACGGGAAACAGAAATAAGATTAATAACATATAAGAATATATATACATATATTTTTCCTTTCGTATGATATTTTAAGATTACCTTTAAAATAATACGTTATTTAAAATTTGGATATATTAAAAAATATAGTAAGCGAGTGTGTGACGTTGCTATGGTAACATATACGGAAGGGGTAAACTCAGTGATTACAAAGAATCTTTGATTTGTAGAATTTATGTTGAAAGTTTTAAATTATAACAGACAAAAATTTTGAATATTCTGTTGAATTTCATATTCATATTATACCATGCATACAGTGTCAAGTAGAACTTAAATGAATAGTTGAAGACCAGAATGACTCCACTCCCCCTTTTCCGTCTAAATGGCATGGTCTCCACCGGAGGCTTTTTTTTTTTTTGGCTTGCACTCTCGTTCCTACTATACCCAGAGTCAGCTTTGTCAGGCATTATTAACTGCTATTTATTACTCCGTGTAATCGTAACAGTTAACGCTTCCTCTGTTAGATCTAATAAAAAGTTAGTGCTCTGATTGAAGCTTGGCGCTATCGAGTTTAAAAAAAGGGGCGCTATCAGAACGTGGCTTGAGAATATTGATGCCTGATAGACAACGAAAGGGGCAAAGGTTTCTCGATATCTATGACAGGCAAAAAGGTTTTGCATACTGGGCGCCGAGCTAGCAGAAGCTACAGGCACTTCACTGAGATCCGCTCGAGTCTGGATATGGATAACGCTGTCCCTCTGGCATTTTCAAACTCATTTTTATGCGTCTCTTGCTCTTAGAAGCGGGCTAACTTGTAAAGTCGCATTCTGTTGCACGGCTTTAAAGCAAAGAGGCGTTCCGTGGTCACCGTTTAAGGTGCGATTATATTGTGTGTTTTCGGCGTTGCAGCTAACCGGCTGTTACTTGATGTTGGCCCCCTGAATGTGCACAGTGTAAATGTGATTGCCGCATTTTAACCATTGCTTTTTGTTCTGTTCTTAGGTGTTCCGGCTAAAAAATTCTGCTGGTATTTCGCCGTCAGCTATCCATCCACCCATCCGTCGGTGCTGACAGCTGCATATCCACATCCGGACTCAGTGCTGAGGAGTGGGTGGGGAGGGGGTCGACCAAAACAGAAATCAAAGGGTGGGGGGTTGCATCAAGACGCCCATGAGGATATGAAAACACTGGATGAATGCTACAACTAAAGAATGGCACAGGAACTTCCAACTTAAATTTGGATTCATTCATTGAGCAAGCCTTAAGAGCTTATCAGTGGAGAACAGGTTTAACCCACTGGAATGACACCGGCGCTTTTATTACTCCTGAAACCTGTGACTGACTACCACATTAGTGGTTTTGGTCCGTGGTGAGGGCACTGTAAGCTGGCTCTGGCTACAATAGTTGTTGGCAACTCCCTGCTTGTAAGTGTTTCAAGACCTGAAGTTTCATTGTCATTGTTTAAAAGTCTGCAAAATGACTTCAGAGTGGAGTGAGAAATCCACAGCAGACCTCATGAGCAGGTATGTCTCCAAGGAAATGGGATACAATGTGCCCAAGGAAGGTTGGCGTATCTGTCTGGCGCACGAGTTCAAGGAGAAGAGAAAGCCCTTTCAAGCAAAAGACGTCTCTCTGGCCAACATCTGGGGGCATATCGGCCTTGGAGTCAGGTTAGATCTTTTTCTCAGCACACCCTGCCTGCTTCATGTTACACCTCAATGCAGCCAGCCTTTTTATTATTCACTTTACAATATTCATGTTAACATGGTGGAGAGCCATGGGAGGCATCAGACTATAGTGTCACGTTTCTCAGATCACACCTGAGCGCAAGCCTGCAAGTGCAGTGTTGACCTGAAAATGTTACTGGTGCTTCTCTGAAAATTAAGCATCAAGACGGCCAGCTGCAGGAGTCCATTTTTTTTAGTTTCTTCTGCAGTGCTCCCAGCCCATCAGTTTAGTTTACTCTGGAGCAAAATCCCAAATGATGCTCACAAAAATCTTATTTACATAAGTTGAACTTTTTTGTTGCAATACATACAAGTTCAGCAGTAATGCAAAATGTTCTAAGGGTTTCCTGTGTTAATAAATATAGTAGTTAAACCTCTTTTCCTATGGTCTGTCAACTCTGGTTCCAGGTCAGTGCCAAGTTCAAAGTGCATGTCATTTATGGCTCTTTGACTTTAAAACCTCTGTAGCAATAAAGGCAGCGAGCGAGGTTAAGCATTCACCATCCCACAAACATGATCTTAATGCTCTTAATGTTGCCTCCACCTAGAGAGAAATATCCAGCCTGGCCTTCAACGCCTGTAGTGACTGTTTTTTCTGAAACCTGCTGATATTCTGAAATCCTGACAATGTGCCTTGACGAAGGAGTATGTGTCTGTCAGAGTGACTCTGCGAGGCTCACCAGTCATTAGGACTGCTCCTTGACTTGGGAAAGAAAAGAAAAGCTAGCTAGTTTCCCTACAACTTAATTGGCACACTGTGTGACACAGTGGACTGTTTTTCAGACTCACTGTGGAAAAGATGCCCGTTTGAGCTCACACAGCTTAGGTTGAGGTTCACAGACTGGTCTGCATTCATAGATCTGCACCAGAGTCTGGCCATTGTTTGCTTTTGTACAGAATAACAAAATCCTGACAATGGCCTACCCTGCTGTAGCTTCAAATAACATTGTTTAACAAATCCTTTTCACCCTGACTGGAGCTGTATTGATAGACCATTGTTCTACCTCTGGTTTGAACTCTGCTCTGAAGTTATTGTTTGGAACTACACTGTCATGCACAGCAGTTCTGCTGTTGCACAGGATCTTCCTCACAGCAAGTAGAAAGCTCTCTGTGGCTGAAACCTTAACAATAATTCTGGTCTGTTTCCTATTTTAATGCTGCACAAGTGTTGTTTGTAATTCAATTAAAAATGTATTCATATAGCTCACCTGACTGCAAACAATAACCGCAGATGGTTGCCCCTCCCTGAGCCTGGCTCTGCCCGAGGTTTCTTCCTGATAAAGAAAAGAGTTTTTTCTCCCCACTGTTAGATAAGATAAGATAAGATAACTCTTTATTGTCATTGCACAGTCATACATAGTACAGTAGTACAATGAAATTGGAAAAACTGCCCTACGTCGGCACTACATATAACACAACACGACACGATATGACACATCACAACGCAACAAACAACACAACACAGTATATTAACTTAGTATAAAAAAGAAGAATAAGTGTATGTGTATTGCACACTGTTATTATTGCACATTAATTATTATTGCACCTTGTTATAAATATAAATATTATTGTTATTGTTTTAAACATTGTTACCTCCCCCCTAAAAAAGTCCAGGGAGGTATCCAGTCAGGTCAGCTATTTACATTGATCAGGGCTATTGCCCTGTTGTAAAAGCTGTCCTTGAGTCTATTTGTTCGGGACCTCAGCAGCCTGAACCTCCTGCCAGACGGCAGCAGCTTAAACACCCGGTGTCCTGGGTGTGTGCAGTCCCGTAGGATGCTGCGTGCCCTCTTGAGACAGCGAGTGCTGTACAGGTCCTTCAGGGAGGGACGAGGATGTCCAATGATTTTTTGGGCCATGTTGATGACCCTCTGGAGCGCCTTTCTGTGTGCTGTGGTGCAGCTGGAGAACCACACACCGATGCAATATGTCAGCACACTTTCAATGGAGCAGCGGTAGAAGACGGTCAGCAGCTCCTTCTTCAGGTCCATTTTTCTGAGGATTCTCAGAAAGTGGAGACGCTGTTGGGCCTTCTTTAAGACCGCAGAGGTGTTAGAGCTCCATTGGAGGTGTTAGAGCTCCATTGGAGGTCTGTGTCTATGTGCACACCCAGAAACTTGAAACTGGAGACCCTTTCCACGCACTCCCCGTTGATGCTGACAGGCTGCAGCTCGGACTTCCTCCTTCTGAAGTCAACTACCAGTTCTTTTGTCTTGGTGGTATTGAGGTCCAGGTTGTTATCTGCACACCAATCTGACAGCCTCTGAACTTCAGCTCTGTATGCAGTCTCATCTCCCCCTGAGATGAGCCCCACCACGGTGGTATCATCTGCAAACTTGATGACTGTGTTGTCTGGGTGGGAACTAACACAGTCATGTGTGTACAGAGTGTACAGTAGGGGACTCAGTACACAGCCTTGTGGAGAGCCGGTGTTGAGGCTGAGGGCTGAGGAAAGATGAGGCCCCACTCTAACTCTCTGTACACGGTCTGAGAAGAAGTCTCTGATCCAGCGGCAGGTGGTGGAAGGAAGTCCAATTTCCAGCAGTTTAACTATTAGTCTGTCCGGGAGTATCGTATTGAAAGCAGAGCTAAAGTCACCAAAGAGCAGCCTGGCGTAACGGCCCTGCACTTCCAGGTGAGAGATGGTGGTGTGGAGCGTTGTAGCAATGGCATCTTCAGTTGATCTGTTAGCTCTGTATACAAACTGGAGCGGGTCAAGTGTGGGTGGCAAGCAGGACATGATGTGACGTCGGACCAGTTTCTCGAAGCACTTCATTATAACAGGTGTTAGAGCAACTGGTCGGTAGTCGTTGAGGCTGCTAATGTTAGTACGCTTTGGCAGTGGGACAATTGTGGCTGACTTTAGGCACGGCGGGATGCAGGACTGGGACAGTGAAGTGTTGAAGATCTTAGTGATGACCCCAGCCAGATGGTCTGCACACTCTTTTAGGACCTTTGCGGTTACCCCATCTGGTCCGGCGGCCTTCCTGGGGTTTACTGCCCTCAGTGTGCGCCTCACCTCATATTCCTGCACTATGAGGCTTGGGCTGCTGCTGCTGTCCGATGCTTTTGCTGCTGCTGCCTCTGGTCCCTTCACCTCAAAGCGTGCGAAGAAGTGGTTCAGCTCCTCCGCAAGCTCCGCGTTACCCTCAGTCAACGTGGTATTGCCAGGTTTGTAGTTGGTTAAGTGCTGAACTCCCTGCCATACCTGTCGTGAGTTTTTGGTGCTGAAGTGGTCTTCGATCCTTCTCTTGTACGCTGCCTTGGCCTCTCTGATGCCTCTTTTCAACTCAGATCTGGCTGCACTGTACTGCATACCATCACCGGATCTAAAAGCGGTGTCACGTTGCTTCAGCAG